TTGTTGAAGATATCTTTAATGCAACTCGAATGTGACCATACTATATATATATATACTATACTATATATATACTGTTTTTGTAGCTTCCCTTAAATCTCAAGCTTTAACATACTAACTATAATAGACCGTATAGCATATTATTATAATAAGAGCTTTAAAATAATTCTTTATCTGAACTATGATTTTATGTATTTTGAAATTTACGACTACACTTATTGTTATTCGCTCCTATCGCAAGTTACGTTCTACCTGAATTTGCATATATATGTGGGTTTCTAAAGAAGGCTACACTTTACTATAAAGCACGTCGTATAGATATTTAAACTGCCTCGAGCTCAGTTTTAATAAGCAGTCAGTCACAGGACAAACTCTATATAGACAGCAAGCGGAAGCGGAGGCTGTAGGCAACAATTTGAGAACGTGCCAGAAGCACCACGTTGTAAGACTTCATAAGCATCTAGTGAGAGACCTCTAGTCGGAAGTGTTCGACTAGAAGATACCCTTTATATATAAATATATATAGGACAAAAAAAGTTTGAATATTTGTAAAAGCAGATCAGCTCTGGGCTCAGGGCTTGAGCTTGGGGCTTCTTTGATATATTTTAAAAAGCTTCTGTTTCCTTTACCCCACACTATATTTATTACATTTTAATTATATATCAAAAAATGGTGTGTTTTGTCAAAGTGCGAGAATCTACTTTTTCAAATAGGATTTCTAATATTAGAAGCATGGTAATATCAAACAAGTAAGAGGTTCTATTCGGGAGCTCCCGACTAGGGGATACCCTGAACCCACTTCTTCCAACATCAAATGCAAATATATATTCTATTTTAGAAGCTATATATTAAGTTTGGTGACTCCAGCTCTTATTATTTACCAAAATTGCCCAGAATTATCGATTGCTTGGAAACGGAGTAAGTTATCGATTATCGGAAACAAACTCGATCTGAGCAGGCACTAGAAGCATCTACATATAAAATTGTATTCTCTAGCTCTTATAGGTTCTGAGATCCTTGCGTTCATACATACGGAAAGACGGACGAATATATATACTTTGTGGGGTCTGTTACATACATTTGGATTTTGCACAAATACAATATACCTTTCATAGATTTGCACAAAACTATTATACCCCATTACCCATTTGCATTGGGTGCACGCTTTGAAAACGCACTGTAAAACAAACAAAAGCAGAGCCAAATGGCAAAGGTTGAAACGAGGCGCAGCGACTCAAGTTGAACCGTGGCAAGTTCTGTTGTTTGTGGAATAATAATAAACGAAGACAATTTCAATGACGCTGTGACTGCGGCGTCCCTCTCCTATGCCCCTCTTCCACCTGGCTACCTTTGTTGATATTTGTTGTAAAAGTTATGTTGTTATTGCTATTAGGGCTGTTCATATTGTTATTGTGGTTGTCGTTATTGCGGACAGCAAGGGGCAGCAGCAGTTGAAAAAGAAGAAGCAGCAGCAGCAGCCAATATAAACAAAAGCCGCGCGTCACGTCACATCATTTCCTGCAGCCATTTTGTGTTTTGCCTTTGATTTCACTGTTGTTTCTGCTCTGAGTTTCTTTTCTTCTTCTTGTTCTGGCTCTGTTGTTCCTAAAGGTAAAGTTGTTCATACAGGCGCTTCAAATGATTGTTGTTTTTATTATTTTATGGCAATTAGACGTTGATTTTTAATGCTATGGTTTTTTATGTCGTTGTTGTTGATGTTAATGCTCTGCCGCAATAATGCACATAACAATAATAATAATAATGATACGCATACGCCCTGCGGTACTTTTATTTAATGATTCACGTGTGTAATTTATTCAAGGCATATGTAAACATTGTTAGTAGCGTTAATACAAGGGTGAAAAATACCAAATGTTGAGAGTCATGTGGTATTCTTATATTTATATAAAGCTCTTCGTATTAGGTATTATTTTCTAAAAAATATCTTCGCACAGCTGACTCATTAGAACAGAATCTCAGCGGCAACTATAGCAGCAACTACAAATTATTTTTGAAGCAATTATTCAAGCTCATGATTTTATACCCAATTCAAACACCAAGTGGTGCAAATTGTAAGTTTTCATGTTTAAAGCTTTAATTTTTTAATTATGTTCAAAATTTGTGGTACCTGTTTAAAGTACAAGGGTATTTGGTTCCTTATTTCATTACTTCTTATTATTTTTTCAAAGTTTTGTATAACTGAACTGGAGACCTCCTGTTAGTTTATTCGAATTGCAACTTCTTAGCCCTTACCGTTTGGGCTGTGCATTAATCATCAATCAGCCAGTCATTCCAAAGGAATAAACTCTTTTATATATACTGATTAATAATAATCAATTAAATTTCTATTTGGACATTTTATTTATTAAATTTGAACTGAATATATAAATTAAGAATATATATCAGCACATTTATTAATAAATAATGATGTACAAAAGATATTTATCAATAAGAGTTGTTCACCCTTCATATATCACTAGAGTCTGTGGCATTTCTGCCCTCACATTCGTACACTTTTCTTTGTTTAAAATCCGACTGAATCTTCATATAAGGGATGACCTCGAACTAGATATTTAAGAACTTCACACATTCATTTTGCGTTAATTGCGTTAAAGTAAATCAACTCACTTCTTTAAAAGTCTATTTAACTAATTTTGCCTATATCTCCTTTTATTTTGATATTCGCCTGACGCTTTAGTGAGCTGCCTTACCCTTTCTTGGCACTTTATCAGTTAATTCAAAAATCAATTAGAAACGGAAAATCTATTAAAGCCAACACTTGAATGCCTTTGCTAATAAAAGTGTACAAAGGCGCTTTATAGGGACTCTAAGGGCGCTAATTGGACATCGAGTGGATTACTTAGCGAAGCTCATTTACCCATTTTGAAGCACCCAATCGGCAAGTCTCAAGAGCTGTGGACGGGCCAAGCAACGCGTTCCATCAACCAGTACATGCGTATCTATTATCATCTGCTCGAGTGTTCTATGAACACAATAACAATAACAACGAGCAGAAGAGACAGAGGTATGGCCAAAGCCTGAGAATGAGAGCATAAACATGAACTTGTGCCAGCTTTGCAATTTTGCTGAATAAGTGCGGCTTGTGCTGCTACTGGGCTTCATTACGCTTGATTTCTTGTGAACTGGCGCACACACACACTCCAGCACACACACACACACACACAAACACACACACATACAAGCCCATACTCAGACACTTGCAGTAACATTAAAGGAGCGCTTAGTTTATGCTTCGTTAGCCAGCTTGGACGGCTGACACGGCTTCGTCCTGGCGTCAAAATGCCTCTTGGCTGAGAGCCGGGCATGAGCAGTCATATGAATGCTGAGGCGCGTCATGAGCGAACAATGGAACCCAGGAACTCCCACTAAAGGGCCCAGTGGGTGCAAAGAGCGAGCTGTAAAGCTAAGGCTGTAAAGTACGTTTGACAGTCAGGCGGCAGGCAGCAAGCGCCGGTCGGCAGGCAAACAGGCGAGCTGCCGGCGACAGGATGTGGTCACAGGATGTGAATAGCTTGTCTATTGCGGGCTGCAGACGCCTGACCAGTGAACGTCTGAATGACAGACACCTTTGTAAACAGCCACAGGATACGCCACATACATACATACACACACACACACACATACACAAACAATGAGAAATGGCCTAGCATGAAGATTTAAAGTAAACAAGCCCCAATCGCAGAACGAACTGACCAAGCCTTATACCCAGCCTGAATCGTAACTCTTAGCTCAACGAACCTGTTGACAAGCAGCTCGACGCTGAAAAGCGAGCAACACTTTTTTCACATTCACTCGGTTTTATGCAATTTCCGAGCACATGAAGCGTTACACGAAAGCGTCGTGCCACATGCTGTGAGCCATTTAAATGCTGTCGCTTACTGGCACCCTGCATGCCCACCCTCCCTCTGGTTGCGCTGCAGTAACCGCAACCGCTGGGCAACCCGCAGCACTCGCTTCGGTTTGAATAATTAACCAAAAAACGACGTCTGACCACAGCAAAGACAGCGGTAAAAAAGGCAACAAAAACATAATAATAATAAAAACTAGACGTATTTTGCTCTAGAATGCTGAATGGAAAGCTATCCTGTTTTCAGCGCAAATTACATAAAATATACATGCCCTTAATTTGGAAATCTATCTTAGTCAAATTAAAAAAAAAAATAAAAACCTTGTAAGGCATATGATCGAAAGAAAATAATGAATAGAAATATTTACTATATATAATTTGAATAAATTTAAGTGGATAGTGGATCTAGAAAGATCGACTTGTCAATTGCTAATTTATTTTATATTTATCACTATCTGTACAATCTCATGATACCCTTTTGCTACGTAGGGTATAAAACCAAATGAATAAACAACTTTATGAGGCACAACCACAGGGTTTTAAGCGCAATTCAGGCCGCTCTGACTTTGATTAAAATTCAACACGGTTTTCTTTTTTCTTTTCTTTTTGACTATTGCCTGTCCCGTTGAAAGTCCATAACTTGTTTGCATAAATCATTGGCACAGGATTGATTATGACAAAAGAAAATACTGACAATCGATTGCAAATCCCTTGCACGTAGCTCATTTATTTATGTATTTTCTTTTCATGCTACAAAGGTACCCAAATCCAGTCAACACAATTCCCTCCACCCTCACCATACAAATGACAGCACATTAGCCGCAGCGGATGTTGGCCTTTTCATGCCTGACTGCACGCCCACTTGGCCCAGAGCAAAAAAGTAATGTATAAATATATAAGGGATATGTATGTATATGAAAGAGGAGCCCAAATGGAGCCCCAGAGAACTGACCAGCAGTCAGGACACAAATGTCAATAAATTCATATGAAGTTATCTCTTCCAGACAGCTTAATGCGCATTTTTATCGCCAAATCTAGATTCAAATTTCTACACAGTTGAATTTTTAGAAATCTCTCAAATGTGAATATCAAACATGAGCATCAAATAATTCATAGCCAAAAATCGTACACTTACCCCTAGGTCCTGAAGTGGCCTTCTGCTTGAGTTGAGTTCAGTTTTAACGGACTGCAAAGAGGACACAAAAGAATATAGTATAAGAGTTAAATTGAAATGGATTTTTTATGGTATTAAATTGAAATAGCATTATTTCGATACGATTATAAATTTCCTTCAGGTAAAACCCAGTAAAAATAAATTGAAACTAATATATAAGGGTTATGTAAATTAACCTCCTTTAAATATTTGTATATTTCATTGATTGCAATTTTGGATTATTAAGTTTATCTGTACAAAATATTTATTTAAATTTTTTTCTGATGAACTAATCAGCTTGTCATGTCAATTTAAATGTTCGACAAATGCTTAATCTATCTTCAAATTCAAAGATTCAAAAAGTTTTCATGAATTTTATTAAAACAAATTTTTCTGTTTTGGTAGCTATTGAAAATTTATTTGATTATTTAAAACAGGATTAAGCACGAAAAAGTCTAAGGCACTGATGATATATCCGAACTAGCATTTAAGCATTCGGTGGTAAGGTCAAAGCAACAATATGGAAGATATTATCTGCTGTTCTTTAAGGATAACTATAGGCCACTTGATGGGCGTGGGCCACTTGGTTGCTATGGGAACGACCCAAATAAAGTCGCATATGTTGACTGCTGACAGCATTTGATGAACCTAATAAACTCTGAGCGAAGTGCCACTCAGCCCAGCTCAGCTGCCAGCCAAGCCAAAAATGTTAAATAAAATTGAAGTATCAAACAGATATTCGTGCCCCACAGCCGTTGCCGTTGACGTTGGCAGCAATTCAAAAATATCTTTTATTGAATCTCGGTAACCCAATGTCGAGCAACCAGTAACTCGAGTAACTCGTAAGTCTGGGCCAGAGGCTTGCGGATAGGGGTGGAGCGAAGCATAAAAAAGATTAGCACAGGCCTTAGTAATGGGTCTAAGTGTAAATGGGTGTGTGTGCGGTTTTGTGTGGGTGTGTATCTATATGAAGTGTGCCTGGAGTGACAGCAGTCAATGACATTGAGCCGCAGAAAATAGATTTACACACCCACACACTGTATCACCCAGCAGCTACAAACACCCTTCGATAACTGGACATGACCAAAGAAATGTCTTTGCACCAGCATGAAAAGCTGTGCAAGTCTCTACATCAAATTGGATTTTTTATTTTAATATATGTATTTTACTTTTCACAGCATGTGCAATGCATCTTAACTGACACACACCCACACACACGCATGCACACAATTGCGAGCTCGCAGCCACACAGCCACCCACTAACAATCCCAAATGCATTTCGGCTGCTGCATTATTTATAGTTTTTTTATATGTCATGGAATACGTGATTTCGCATAAATTGCATGGCCCCCACTCGAGTGTGTGCTCACCTCCGTACAGCCGCCGTCGCCCTACATCAATGAGTTTAGCGCACAAAAAGTGCAAATTAAATGGTTCCTAAGGAGGAGGGGGCTAACATTGCAACGCGTATTTTCAATAATTGATGGCACGGACGAATGCGAGTAGATAATAGTCGCTATAACAAATGTTGCACAGCGTCATGAAAATGAATACCGATAATAGATATTTGAGAACATATATTTTGTGTGCAATGTCAAGATTCAAATAGATATATAGCAAAATCAATGGTTAAAACAACTTAAATATTTAAACATTAAATTTTAATTCAGTTTAAATTTATACTAAAATCAGTGTTGAAAAACTCTACAGTTCTTTGAGACTGACTATTATCTAATGCTTAATTGACATGAGCTAATGTAAAAAACAACAGTCGCTTGTGGCTTAAGCTAAAAGTAAAGTATTTGCAATAAACAAATGTTCAGCATGCATTTACATTGCACTAACATAGCATTTCAGCTTATAACTCTGATCTTTTTGGGATATGCCAGCGCATTTCAGTTGTTTTGTGAACAAATTGAATAATATATGGAAGTTCTAATCGCATTGTACGCATTCCAGTAACGGACTCAGCACTCCAATGGCAGAGCATTCAGATGCTTGCAGGCCACAAGCACAAGCACGTTCTCTTTATAAACACATAAATTCTTAAGTAAATGTACTGTTAAGCTGGATTTTTCACACTGCCCAACTACAAAATGTGTATAAAAGAGCGGCTGCTATGCGTGTGTGTGGTTCAGAGAGGGTCGACAGGACAGGGCGAGGGAGTTGGGTACACAGTCAACAACTATTGAAAAAACATTAATGCAAACATTACGTAACTTTAAATGGAGCCAGCACTAAGGCAACCAGGGGAGACAGGTGCAGGTGGTAGCGCGCAGCTGGAAAATTGTGCAAATAAAAGATATTGAATTTGCCGGTAGATGGTCAATGTGTAGCCAATAAACAGTAAAGAGACACGCAGCACGGCAAGGAGCGCCGCAGGAATATCGATTACAGGACACACGCGACACAGACATTCAGGTCTGTAAAAACAAAAATAATGAAAACGAGAGCTAAGCAGCAGATACAAACACAACAACAGCAGCTAACGCTCGAACCGGCAAAATTTCCAACAGTTTAAGCCATAAAATTTGAAGCGAAGGACAACTTGGCTTGAGCACGAAAGCCCTATATGGAATATCAGAACTCAGCAGGCATTATGTTTGGGGCTAGCTGAGCAAAGTGCTGACACCTTGACTGGGCGCCACTTAGCCCCAATGGGGCACAGCTGCAGCAGCAGCAGCAGCCTCACATTCTATGCAAAAGCTCATTTCGGGGGCAGCAAAATTGCCAGCATATGCGATCCACTTAAAGCATTGCCAATTGTGGCGGCATGGGGTAGCTACAAGTATTCAAAGTACACTCTGTGGCAATCATGTTTCGTGTTCTTGTTGCACAGTGCCTAATTTGTATCTGCCGTCCGACCACAGGACGCTACCCAGCTGCTTTCTACCGTGCGCTGCACAAATGGGAGAAAACTGTGTTGAACTTATTTTTAGGCAGGTCAAAATGTTTTTTTTATTTATTTTTTTTTATTTATTTATTTATTAATGGTCGACAAAACGAGTGTCTTCCTCATTATTCAAAAGGTTGTACAATATAAGTATATTCTAAAAGCCTAGTTAAAGGATACAATTTTCTAAATAGCATCACCGACCGATGGAGGTGTTTTATTTGCCAGTCCGGCCAGCTGTGCCCCTTTTCACAGCTAATTTTGTCAGTGACGCTATTAGAGCCTACATCTAAGCAGAAGGTTGTAAGTAGGAAAAAAGTGATCTCAAGTGAAATTAAAAATAATCTTAATTTGCTAAATTAATAAAGAAAATACAATAAATAGGAAAAAAGAAAGTAAGAAAATTGTTAATAAAGTAAAGCAATGTAAGTTAGATAAAGAGTGTTAAGTGGATAGGACAAAGAGAAAAGTATTGGGAAATCACCGACACGGTGGGGGAAAATTTTTCAGCCTGTCCGGCTAGCTATGCCCCTGCTCATAGCTGGGAATGGTCAGCGACTTCCCGAAGGTATCCTGAAAGCAACGATTTTATTAGGGGTAGAGACAGTTCGGTAGAGAAAACGTGATGCAAACTATTATAATTTTTACATAGCACGCGAAAAGAATTGTGCATAGCGTAATCTGTTGTGCACGTAGATAGTAATAAGGGGCGATAATTTCTGGTTGGTCTAGCCGGAACAGAGAATTGAAGACGCCCTAGCAGAAAAGGAGAATCAATGTCGCCAATAATCAACTTATGTAGAAGGACAACACCGAGAATTGTCCTACGGTTGATTAACGACGGAAGGTTGAGAAGAAGCAGTCTGCTGGAGTAGGACGGCAACCGAAGATTAGGGTCCCAATTTAAACCTCGTAAGGCAAAAAGCAGAAATTGCTTCTGAACAGATTCAATACGATCCTGGCTGTTGATATACTGTGGAGACCAGATGCAAGAGCAGTATTCAAGGATAGGGCGAACAAGAGAGATGTACAGAAGTTTTGTTATAAAAGGATCGTTAAACTCTTTAGACCATCGTTTAATGAATCCAAGTACACCTTTTGCCTCATTAACAATGGTATCTATATGAAGATTGAAACAGAGTTTAGAATCAAAAATAACGCCAAGATCCTTAACTGTTAGTATACGTTGCAAAGGGATATTGTCGATTGTATAACTAACAAGATAAGGTGTAGTACGATTAAAAGTCATAAACATACACTTTGAACAATTTAGATGCAATTGATTGGCCGAACACCAAAGTTGCATAGCGTTCAAATCGTCTTGTAGACGAGAATGATGTAGGGGGTTAGTGTATGATAGAAAAAGTTTGACATCGTCCGCATACATGAGTACACGGGCATGTGATATAACAGAAGGAAGATCATTTATAAAAAGTGTAAAGAGTAAAGGTCCAAGATGACTACCTTGAGGAACACCAGAAGTAACGTGAACCCTTTTAGAGGTAGTCAACCTCAGTATTACTCTTTGGGTCCTACCTTTTAAATAAGAATTAATCCAAAGTAAAAGGGACAGAGGGAAACCTATTCGGTCAAGTTTAAAAAGTAAGATGTCATGGTGCACAGAGTCAAACGCCTTACTGAAGTCAGTGTAAATGACATCAGTTTGCATTTTCGAAAGGAAAGCATCATTTACCAAGGAAGTAAACTCAAGCAGATTGGTCGTAGTTGACCGATTCTTTACGAATCCATGTTGAACAGGGTTTTGTTTAAGATGGCACGACTAAGGCATACCCTGAATGCAAATGTTATTTATCTAGAATACTATCCGATCTTCTCCCACCTTTTAACGGAACACTCACGTGTTTTTTAACCACATCCAATTTTAAATTTTTATTGGATTCTTGTTTACCTTATTAGATGTTCAGACAATCACAATAAAATCTTTAAGAGTACAATATGTTAATATAACCCTTAAAAAATCATGAACTTATTAAATAAAGAAAAATTTTTTTACATAATTTTTATTTTTATTATGGAGCTTAATAGTAACCGGATATAAGTTTGAGAACCTTAATACCCAATTTAATTAAGTAGAATGTGAGTAGACTCTCAGAAATCCTTCAGGTAGATATACATCCAG